CAGGAGGGTTGAAGGCACCAGGTTCGTTTTCGTCTTCGGCCCCGTTGTTCTCGATGGTGACAACCACCACTACATCAACCATGGGCACCGGGAGCAGGACCTTGTCCCCATCTGTGCATGCGTTTGGTGCTTCTGTGGGTTCATTTTCATCTTCTCATGCTTTTCTCATGTCTCTAGTTTCGTTGTTGGTTGAACTGGGTAAATTTTGAATCTAGAACGACCCGTTCTGCAATGAGAACGACCCGTTCTGCAATCAGAACAACCCGTTCATGATTGGTTTTAACTCATGCCAAACTATGCTAGAACGGCTTGTTCCAAACTTTAATGTTAGGCCTTTTTAACAACCTGGAACGGTCTGTTCCAGTTTTGGAACGACCCGTTCTAGTTTAATTTTTTACAAAGCCAAGACTTTTAAGATCGATTATAAAATAACCGATCTTAAAAGTTAACTTTTAAAATCGGTTATTTAACCGATTTTAAAAGTCATACTTTTAAAATCGGTTAGGGAACCGATTTTAAAAGTTAAAAATAACCGATTTTAAAAGTTTTTTTTCCACTAGTGTCTTTCGAAATTTTGATCTCAAGCTATAAATATTTCATCCTCAAAGATATTAAGATTTGTTTCCCTTAATGAATCCTCAAATTGCTTAAAAGATACAAAAATTAATATTGCAACTAATATAATTTTGAATTGCACAAATTGAGAAATTACAAAGGAAACTTACTGAAGATAGGGTTCTACTTCTTTGTAATTTACAATGACATATGTCTCAACAATATGAAGTTATTCCTTTGTTAGTAATCTACTATGACCCTTGCTAATGGGATGACACAGTTATTTAAAAGTAGACAACTTATCATCAATTTTATCTTCACATCTATTATCATGTCGACGAGCAACTTGAGTGTGCCTTGTCTGAATGCTAGGATCAAAATACATAGAAACAAAGTTAGAAATTTCTTCCAAAATATATGCTTCATATATTACAGGTTCTCCAACCTTAACTTCATATAGGAGATGTATTAACAAATGTTCCATTGAATCACAAAATGTTGGCAGAAAAATCTTATCAAGCTTGCAAATTGTTTTAATAATAGAATGCCTACCATTTTCCACAACAGAAACACATACTGTAGTTGCACAAATCTCTCTAAAGGACAAGTTGAGTTATATTAAAACACCCCATATAGGCTTTGCCAACATATCATGGAATGCCAAAGGAATTAGTGTTTGCATAAAAACATGACATTCATGACTCTTCATTCCATAGGTTTTCCCTTCATCTAAATTAATACAACGTGATATGCTAGGGTTTATTGTTCATCCTAAATGGTTTATTGTTCCCCCATTCTATAGGGACAAGAAATCTGACTTCCCATGAATGCTCTATCCAAACAAAATTTTGTAAGATAGAAAATCACTTATTGTCTTGCATCAATGGGACTTTCATAATGAAAATTTGTTTTTTACATGCAACAAAGGTGTTACCCCAGTGTCCCATAACAGGTGACTTTAACTCATCAATTAGAGGGCAGAGATAGACATCTAAACTTTTACAAGGTGACTTTGGTCCAGGAATCACAAAAGTAAGAAATATATATTCCCTTTTCATACTCATACTCGGGAGAAGATTTTAAGGTGTGACGAAAACATGCCAATATGAGCATGGGTTACCAGAATTATTGAAAGGATTAAAACCATCTATGCAAAGTCCAAGCCTAAAATCAAAGAAAAACCATCTATGCAATAATAGTTTTAATTTTAAAGGGATGAAAACCAAAGAAAAAATTTACAAGGACTAAAATCAAACCAACTAATTTTGAAGGGACTAAAAGTATTTTTAGGCCTCTTTATTTTATTTTCAATCAAAATTTACTTTGCATTTTCTGTTAATTTTTAAAATAAGATAACATCTTATAAATGCTTAAATAATACATTCAAACACTTTAAAATTGTATAAGTGCTTGTTAACACGTATATCTAAATTCAAAAGCTTAATGAATTTTAAGCACTTGTAACATAAGAACTTATTAAATAAGATTTTAAATAAGTTATTTGTCCAAATTAGCCTTATGTATACCAAGACTTACTCTTGAAGTAAGTGAGAGGGATTCACTTACTTTAAGAGTAAGTCTTAGTAGACTTACTTCACTTAGTGACTCATGCTTTACATCAAATTTCAACGATTCAACCGTCTAATTACATGTTCTTAATGCATAAATCAAGTTTTCAAATTTTTAAAAGATTTGAAAACCATATGATTCTTTTTTTTTATAAACTCAAATTGACAGATAACTATAAAAATATTTTATACATTGATTTTAATCAATATAACTAAGTGTCATATATTTTCATTTTTTTTTTAATTTTTTTTACAACAATCTATGAGTTAAAATTTTTTAATTCGAAGTTATACTATTAAAATTCAATGTAGAGCATGAGTTATTGAGTAGAATAAGTCTAGTTAGACTTATTATTAGAGCAAATGAATCCTTCCTCATATATATGACACTTA